CTGGCTTTTATTGCCCTCTCGAGTGTATCATCTCATTTCCTCCACATGAATAGGCACCGGACATTTGGGAAATAACGGGACCTATTGGAATAAAAACAGTCGGTAGCACGGCCGTGTACGCTGCTCATCAGTGACAGTGATAGGAAACGACTCCAAGCATTAAAAAAAAAAAAAAAGCTTGCATCATCATGATCATCGAAGCGGAACAAAAACAACAACATCAGTGGTCGGCATGGCAAAGAAAAAAAAAAAAAAAAAGGGCTGACGAGCCGGCCGGTAAATAAGCGAGCGCTAGCTGCCGTTGGGACGGTGCAAAATCAATTAAGCGGGGCGTCCGCCGGGATACGGGGGAGGATGTTTGCTGTCGCTCCCCGATAAGAATATTTTCTGCGCTTGATTTCCGGCCGTGCCAAGAGGAAGATTATCGCCTGGCACGACTGGCGCAAAGTGGGCCAGTTTTCTCAGCACAGCAGCCAACGGGAGGGAAGAAACTCTTGGCCTGGTTGAAGTCTGCTCAAACACAATTTCTTTTTTTCTCGAGGATTACTGATGAATCTTGATCCAAATTTTAACGCCGCAGATGGCAAAGCTACGGATTTTCCAAGTTTATCCTGACATGGGACATGACGTCGGCGAAGATGGTGCGATTGTGGGAGGGTCCACATTCAAGTGGGTGGAGCATCATCCTTATGACACGCGTTTTAGCCGCCTATACGTACGACACGGTCACTTGGAAGACTTGACTCATTTTGCCATTTTCAGCAGTAAAAAGTGAATATTTTGTCTGCAATGAATTTGATGATTTGATTATTTCTGATTGAAGAAATGACACCTTTAAAAACACATTTTGCCACTTGCTGCCGACTGAAAATGGCATCCCGTGTGGAGCTCAGGTGTCCGGGAACAAACAATCACGGCGCATGTGATCTTCGAAAGCAGAAAATTGCAAAACGAACAAAGGATCCCTTGAAAGCAACGCATTGCCATTACGGCTAAACTAGCCTAGCTTCGCTACCCGCCACACAATTTGCTCAAAGACGAGATGCTAAAGGCCTAAATAGCATTAGACATGCATAAAGTTGCTTCATGTAATATCTAAAATATAGTTCTTGATGAAAGCAAGAATACATTTTATTTATAAAGCGCCTTTCAAAACACTCAAGAACACTTTACAATTAAGAACAAAACAATTAAACCACAGATAAAATGATAAATAATAAAAGAAGAGATGAATTTAAATTGACCGCATTAGACAATCATAACTTTGCTAAACGTAACACGCAAAGGGTCAACGTAGCTCTGCTAACTGTATCGTGTAGGGTTGTACACTGAATTAGCCCAAATAGCATTAGACTAGCATGAATTTGTCAAATGTAACTCGTCATTATTGAATGGAATCATTGAATAACTAATTTAATAGGATGCTATTAAGTGTTGCGAAAGGTCATGAAACACAAAGAGATTACGACAGACTAGCATAGCTTGACTCAATCGAAGTTTGTCATCCGCTAAACAAATATACGCACTCATTAAATTAGCCCTAATGGTATTTCGAAACATAAGTCAAACAATAAAACGCCTGATGAATTCAAAAATTAAATTAGCACACGCTAGCTAACACTGTGCTAAAGGTAGCATGTCCTGCAGCAAGCTTTTGCTTTCGTTTATTTGTGGTTTCAATTCAATACTGCTCCTCTGAGACATTTTATTATTTTTTCTTTCAGCGTTTGTCAAATTACTTCCTGTGTCACATTTTGGCCGTTTTACACATTTTGAAGCGATAATTTTAGCCCGTTTCCCCCAGGGAGCGGGCTGCTCGTCGCTACCGTCGCTATGTTTAGCCTGGTCCGTGTGGAATTCCAAACTCTCCGAGCTTGGCTGACAAATGATTATTATTGTAGTTGTTGAAAAAAAATCTCTTCCATGAAAGGTTTTCTTTCTTTTTGTGTTTTATTTAAATCATATCGGAAGGAATTAGTTCTCACCAAATTGACGGAGGAATTTTGAGAAGGGGCGAGGAGGGGGACATTTGTCCTGCTGTGACAACAAAAAGGATTTCCACCCGGCTGAAAGTGCACAGGAAACTAAACGATTGGTCGACAGCGGAATCAAGGCAAAATAAAGGCCTTGGCCAGAACAGACTTTTGAAGTAACACTCACAATGTGGAGCAACACATGACAAAAAAATAAAACAATCGTCATCGACGTGTATTCTTTGTCCTCTGCCAAGAATGACTCATGTGGCTCAATGTGCAGTGTTTCCGTAGGTCTGTCACTCATTAAAGACAAATATATCGGGATGTAAAATTGAGTTTGTGTTGGAGAGTGCGCTCACTGGCCTGGCATGTATCTTGCACCTTTCAAGCGGATTCATTCGCAAAACTTTTTCGAAAGCGCAAAAAGACACATCATCTCATGGTTGTTTTCCACTGGTAAATTTGCTCACGTTTGCTGATTTGCCTCCACTATTGACTTTCGCCGATGTCCCTGACACCGGTTCTTCGGGAGTATCGGATTTTTTTTTTTTTTTTTCCTGACCCCAAGATGAAAGAACCGGAGTCACTTTAATCCCCACCCTCCCACCCTTTTCCTTCTAACCGCCGTAATGTTTCAGACGATTAATTGCATTTATTTCTTTCTTTTTGACGGGTCATTTTTGGGAGTGCGCCATTTTCATTCTGTCCTTTGGAAACGCCCCTGCCCCCCCGCCACACACACCCACCACGCAAAGCTCGGCGCCTGCAATACAGGCCGCACGGTCAACGGGTGCACGCGATTCCGACTGGGAGCAGAGTGATGAAATTGTTGTTTTGAAACGCGGCGGTGATAAAATTGCCTTTTCTCCCCCTGGGTTGATCATCATTTCAGAATATTTACATGCCTAGCTGTTCGGCCACCTTTTCCCACCTTTCTCGGATGTCAATGGCCCGGGGCTGCCGTTAGGGGCTTTAAAATGAGCTTCACTGTGATCACGTATGCAAGGGACAAGCCGTGCCGATGACGAATGTGTCCTGCCGACGAGCACGAGTGAGACAATTGTCATGATGGGTTTTTTTTTGGGGGGGGGGGGCAGGATATACAGTGGGCCGGTCGCCAACCAATCACACAAGCAGTGACCAAATTAGCACCCTACAAAAAAAAAAAAAAATTGCAATACAAATAAATCAGCTGATTTTGTACTTTTTTTTTGTGAACAGAAATGTCACATACAAATTTGACAAAAGTTACACATTAAAAAAATAATGGAGTTTCACACAAACGACAATGTAATGTCAAAAACATACAGTGAGAAATGTTTTTTCTGAACTGATGCCACACACAAATGACAATATTGTCATCAACAATGCAAAACAAAAGCGAGAACTATTTTTACACAAACGATTCGCGTGGGTCTTCACGGCGGGAGGCCAAAACGTGCCGAATTCAAGTCATAAACTCTCCACCAGAGGGCACCGCATCAATGGAAAAGAAGCTGGCCGATTGAACAGATGCGGGACATGACGACGGCAGTGTAGCAACGTTCATGCCGTGATATCGCCGTTATCGTTACATCCCGACAAATAATATGGTCCAAAAATGTGCTCGGAAACAGGCGGCACAGTGGCAGACCTGTGAGCACGTCCGCCTCACAGTGGGTCGTGCCCCTTTTGGAGACGTGGAGGTCCAGATTGGAAAGCGCGAGGCAGAGGTGCTAAGCGCGAGGTCACCCCGCTTTCGCTCATCGTCGTACTACTTCCAAGGCTACGCGCACGACTGCCACGCAAAACGCGGCAGACAGCGAATAAATCCGAAAAAGGCAAAATGATAATTGGGCCGTTGGGCCCGCGGTGCAAATCCCGAGACGTCAGTTAGCTAAGACGCACAACAAATGGCACAGAAATGTTGAACGCTCCGCCAATGATTTAATAACAACAAAGCGCTCCATTGGGATGAGCTACCTGCCTAATTCCCAATCCGCTCAAGAGGTGCGGATCGGACATAAAAGGGCGCATGAAGGCCAACTTATATTCTTGACGCCGGGATCCCATTAGAAGTAATCTTGTTTAAGACGCGACCGAAGCGGCGTGCAAAGAAATCATGCACCTCATTTGAGACTCATTTTTCTGTTTTTGCGCTTTGTCATTGACACCGGGCCAGAACTAAGCCTCACGATGCCCCCACTCAACCCCACATGCACACATGGTGCGATCCATAACCACGGGTCAATACAGCACGATAATGCTCAATGAAAAGACAACACCCCCCCTCAAAAAAAAATTTGATGATCCTCAATACAAAAAAGCAACTCAAG